TCTTCAAAATCGCATACTTGGATACATAACCTTAATGGTCATGATATGCTGTTTTTGGTTAGGAGAGTCTTGAATTGGTTGGCAATGCATAGCCCAATATTTATTTTTTTGACTTTACATGATCCATGGAAATATTATTCCAAAATCTAAAAAGAATTATAACAATAATTTAGTCTACATGCTTCCTCTCTTTGTAGGTTATCCCAGAACTGATACATGGTTAGACACTAAAAAGGGTTCTTGGGTTGGTTACCTCACTAACTGATAGCAGCTTCAGAGAAGAGGATCATGATGTTTTTTTTTGTTCTTAGGTTAGACTTGCGAGATAAACTAGATTTCAGAGGCCATGAGAGACCAACTTAGTGTCTTCATGTTCATGTTTGTGTGCTAATTTTTCTTGCACTTCCCTTCTTACTCCTAATGATAAATCTGCAGGCATGTGTTGAGTTTAATCGTGGACGCTACTCTGATTCTTTGCAGTTGTATAAGGTATGATTTTGTTATCTTATCGTATATGATTTTCACTACTTCGTGAACCTGCGATATTTGAAGAGTATCTGTTGATGACAATCATGGCTTCCTCTAACAGAATGTTTCAAATTATGAACTCAAAATTGATAATTTCATTGATACATTATATATGCCTTTGGTAGAGGGCTCTGCAAGTCTATCCTGATTGTCCAGGGGCTGTACGACTTGGTATTGGTTTGTGTCGATATAAAATGGGTCAATTTGAAAAGGCTCGCCAAGCATTCCAGCGGGTTTTGCAGGCAAGTGATATTAAGTATTTTCCAGTTCTCTGTTTCCACTTACTTCATTTGTTTGTCAGTTTTGCGCATCAAAACAATAATTACTGCAAATGCTGTAAAGTTGTATTGATGTTATTATCTATACATTTCACAATTTAATATTTGCAGTTAAATCCGGATAACGTCGAAGCTCTTGTAGCACTTGGAATTATGGATTTGCAAGTAAATGAAAGTGAGCATGCCCATATTTACTATTCTTTAAGTGAAACATGCTTCAAAAGGTTCAGGAATTGTTTAGTCACAATATTATTCTCATTTGAGTGGTTGATTGATGCTATATTATATATGCACAGCTTTTGGCATGAGGAAAGGAATGGAAAAAATGAAGAAAGCTTTTGAGATATACCCCTACTGTGCAATGGCGCTTAATTATTTAGCAAACCACTTCTTCTTCACTGGTCAGCATTTTCTTGTTGAGCAGCTGACTGAAACAGCTCTTGCTGTGAGCAATCATGGACCAACAAAGTCACATTCTTTCTACAATCTAGCACGATCTTACCATAGCAAGGTCTGTAATATTATCTTCCTCTCCATATAAATTCTGCTTGAGTTTGCTGTTGTAGATGGAATTATTATCAGTGAACTTTGGTGTGGTGCAAGGACTTGTCCTTAACTATTTGGTTACTGTTAAAGATACTCTTCCTCCCAATTTATTTCCGTTCTTAATTGAAATAGGTAAAAGAAGTGCAAAACTAATGCAAGCTGATGTGATGATTCCATTGCACTTCTGTTCCTTTTTTGGTCATTTCAGACTAATTCAGTGCTAATGTTTTGTGTCCAAATTTTTATTTTAAAAAAATGTTGTGTCTAAATTTGATTTGAGGAACTATATTTATATAGACAACCCCTTATGGCCCAAATCATCCATTGATAATTACCCTGGAAGATGATGTGGAACAAGAAGACCCTAGAATTGATATATTTTAATGTTATGGATACTTATGTAGTTACAGTTTTTATGTATTTGTTATTGATGTTTAGCTTATTTACGAACTATTAAATTTATTTCTTATATAACTAGAATTCTAATTTTATTATTTATTTTCCTAGTTAGGTATTCTAGTCATATTAGGTTCTATAGAAACCCGATAAGTACAGGAGTGTTTCATCATTATTTAAGAGACTGTTAATAAATGAAAACTTCAAATTTTCTTTCATTAAGTTGGAGCATCTGACAACCTAGTGACGGTCATTGTGACAACCCTGTGACTCTGGTTGTTGGCAATCCATGAGATTGCATACTGGACTTATCCTTTCTTTTCTTCAATTTTTTTCATCTCTTTAAACCCTATTTCTATGTGCTTCATCAGAAGATCTAATAATTATATATATTTTTTAACAAACTAAACTAGCACCATGGAAGATAAACTGAGGAAGACTGTTCTAGGTGACCTAGTCTTGCCATGGATACTGCAGATATTGGATGCAATACAGAAGAGTTTAGATAATCTAAATGGAAGATATGGAAAGGTTTAGAGGAAGCCAAAATCACATGGCAGAATTATGTGAAAAAGATCTATTGTGAAAGAATCCAATGAAAAAATATGACTAACAGTGGAGATGATTATCTCTTCTAGCTTGCCCATTTTTCGGAGGATAAGGAGCAAAAGATGATATTTTGGGACTATAGTTGCCACTGTAAGAAATTTGCGATTGAAGTAGAATCTAGAGTTTTCAATTGTTGTTCCCAACCACCATAGCATCTTTGAGAAAGATTGGTGTTTTTTGTGTCTTAATGGACTGAGCTTCATTGTACTTTCGGGGTTCTTTGATGCTTGCAAATAATTGGGTTTCTCTCGTGTGTTGAAGCATATTCCTTGTTGCTTTTTTTTTTCTTTAGTACTTTATTTGAAGAATATGTATCCCCCTAATTTGTAATGCATTTCTCTCCCTTTTTAATAAGTTATCTTCTTTTAGTCAAAACTATATATTTAATAGAGTTTACAACGGGGATTTATTGTTGCTAAACCAATTACTTTGGGAGCAAGGGTAGTTGAATCTCGTGGTTTATAGCTTGTGAGAACTTTTTCATGGCTGGTTTTGGTCCCCTCTGCTGCTAATAGTGGTGATGCTGTCTTTTATTCTCTGTAGGGGGACTATGAAAAAGCTGGCATGTACTATATGGCATCCATCAAAGAAATCAATAATAAGCCTTGGGAATTTGCATTTCCTTATTATGGTCAGTAGTTTTCCTGGTTTCTTTTCTTGTTCAGTGCTATTTGTAAGAAATCAATATCAATATCATTGGTCGCCACCTCCTTGGTACTCGTAATTAATGATACGTACTATCTTTCATTTAAAAATATCACGTTGTTGGCAAATTGAATTGTTCCTTTATACAAGAGGTTGGCTTTTCTCTCACAATTTATTTCTGTAAGCTACTGTCTCTTTAATAAACTTGGTGCGTTTTAGGTCATTGAATTCCTTTTTCTGTTATTATTTTCATCTTTTTACAGGGAGATTAAATGAAATAATCCCATAGAGTTAGTATAAAAGACACTTAGTCCTGCTTTTTACAGAAAAAAAGTCTCAATTTCAGAAAAAGTTACAAGTATATTTTGTGTGGGTTCTTTATGTGGCTTCAGTTCTGTTTCTTTGCTGCTAAAAATATTTTGCTGGTACATAATTTTATCCTTATTTAATGCAAATATAGCATT